AAAAAAAGAATAATAAATATTTCATATATATATATATATATATATATATATATAAAAGCATAACACTCAACCTTTTTTTTTATCACGGTAAACTTAAAAGGAAGAAAGACATCTTTTTCTTTCTTTCCATTTCTCTTTACAATAGTTCATGAACTAACAACCATCTCATGGTTTGTCATCATTAGACTCTCTCTCTCTCTCTTTCTTTCTTTCTTTCATATATAACAGACCGCACGGACACACACATCTCAATAGAAAAAGAAAAGAAATAAAAAAGAAACGATAACTCCAAAAATTAAAGCAAAGTTTATTTTTTCTTTTTTTCATTTCTTTTCCTTTTCGCCACACACACAAACACAACAACAACAACAACCATCCTCTCCCCACCTCCCTTTTCCATTTAAATAAATAAATAAAGAAAAAAAAAAGAGAAAACCGTAGAATGGTTTATCTCCCTCATACCATAGAAGTTCTCCTCGCTGCGATATCACTATTACTATTGTTGTTCATATTACTGCTGCTGTTGGCACTGAAGGGCTTTCCAGCCGCCCGGCGTGCGATAACACCCATAATGGCAAAGAAGAGAATAATAAGAAGGAACAATCCAAGCAGTATTGCGAAGATATCTATTCCCTTCATTTCTATCTACAACTAAAAACTTAAAAAAAAAAGATAAGAAAATTTTATATAAAATTGAAAAAAATAATAATAATTGTAATAATACCGGGATTGCCGGTGTGAGTATGTGTGTAAATATGATAAAGCCTATAAATATATAAATATATTTATATCTCTTTTGTTTTGTCGATTCCTCTTGATTATGGCCTAGGTACTAACTAAAAAAGTATATATATATATATATATACCAGTACTCTCTGCCTGTTTTACTCCAAAGACTACGAAAAGAAGAAGAGAAGAAGAAAATAAATAAATAATTCATTGTAAAGAGATTGATAAGTAATCCTATAGGAAACAACATTTAGAAATAAATAAATAAATAAAAAACACCATATACATTATATTACACAGAAGCGCATACGGGCATATACTTTTTTTTTTTTTAATTCTTAATAGAAAATTGAGAATGTCATTTTTTTTTTTTTTTTTTTAAATCTCTTTTCTTCTTCTGTTTTCATTTACTCGTTATTTTTTTTTTTTTTTTCTGTTTCTCTGGTCTTCTGTACGTTTAATGTGGGAGAGGACCTTCTGCTGTAAACAAATATCCACACATACATACTTTTACCAAAACTCACACAACAACAACAACAGAACAGAAAAAAGAAAAAAAAAGAAAAGAAAAAAAAAAGATTAAAAATACATAGACACATTCATCACACATATATATAGAGAGAGATGTGCCCTTATACGTATATATTTATTCCTTTTCTTCTTCTATTTTCCCCTTTTTTCTTCTTCTTCTTCTGTATTTATACAACTACCTATCTATCTATATATATATAGATAGATAGTTTATGTGAGTCTGGCCTCATTACGGAGGTACTCACCCACGTCCGCCTCGTGAAAGAGCACCGTCGCATTCATCTCGCACCGCCTGCACTCCACCGTTCCAAGTGCGGCGACTCCAAATCCCAGCGGAATATCGCCCATTGAAAAGACCGCAACTTTTTGATATTTTGGAGTCGACTCCGTAATTCGGCCGAGTCCAGCACGTGTGATGTGGCCACCGTAGAGAAACTTCTGTTCTTGATTGGGTTTCACCCACACCTTAAAGAGGGAGTATTGGGCAATGTAATCAAGGGCGGTGACCTGAATGCGGATGTGTCCATTGTGCGTGACCTTTGCGAAGAGAACACCAATTCCCATTAGATTGGATTTGGAAACACAACTGGCCAGTTTGGCTAGACGTAAAGGCATATACCAAATACGGCCTTTATGTAATCGAAAGACATGTTCCTCATCTTGTTGTTGTTCGTTGTTGTTATCGTGATTGGAATGGTCGTTCTTACTTTGCAGCAGTCGTGTGGTGTTGGGACCAATATACTGTGCTAATTTCTCAAACAACTTTTTTGTCTCCTCCTCCGTTAACGGCCGCATATTGCTATGAGTCTGACTCTTTCATAATAGTAATAATAATGAGAGAAGAGAAGAGAAGAGAAAAGAAACAGTATTTAAAGATCTAAATGTATGAAGGATATACAAATTGCAGCAATAGTATGAAAGAGAGTGTACAGATTGTTTTTTTTTTTCTTATTGGTTCGCGTGTATGTATATATATATATAAATACTTGCAGTAGCAAAAAAACACACAAACACACATATTCTCATATTGAGAACGAGAATGAGAGAAGAAAAAACAAATATATATATAAATATAAATATATATTTCATTCTGTATCTCATGCTCACGCAAGAATGATAATACCAGCAATATTAGTTAGACCAAAGACAATGAGCAAAAAAGAGAAAGAAAAAAACACAAACAGCAACAACAATAATAATATCGACACCTATAAAAAAGAAAGGAAAGAAATAATAAAAAAAAATATAAGAGTAATATATATATATATATCAGTCTCCCTTTTTTTTTTTCTTTCTGTTCCCATATGTAAGCAAAGTTTTTCTCACATTAACCGGCAACTATTTTGACTTTCTTTCGCCTTCTTTAGCACATCCACACTCTTTTTCACGCTAGTATGAGTTTGCTGCACATTGTAATCAATTCGATCCAAAACAGATCCCTGTTCCACCACCATTGTACCAAGTTCTTTAAACATTTCATGCAGTTCAGTAATACTCTTTAATATATCTTGAATCTCACGACTTACTTCCTGCTGTTTTGCCTCTTCAGCGAGAAGTTCCTCAATATCTGCCTGTGCATATCCAAGCTCTAAATACTGAGCTATTTTTTCCTCCTTTTGCAATTGTTCATGTATTTCATGGGAACCAATTTGTTGATAACGTCTGGACTTCTCTTCACATCGTTTCCGTTGGGCGGCGTACAGTTCCTGTCCTCCTCTAAATGTTTGAATAATTTCTGAGAGTCTTGCGGAAAGGTGTTTCTTTGCATTTTCAGATGCCATTCGTTCATCCTCATTGTTTGGATCTTGTGGACGCATACCTGATAGAATCATACGTTCCAATTCTCGTAAAAGTTTCTGTATATCTTGTGCATTCTCTTCAATTTGCTGTTGTTGTGCCGCCTCTTCTTCATCTGAGAGAAATTTCGGTTGGAGAAAAGTCCGCTGCTGTTCATGCAATCGTTCCATCTTGAGATGAATTCTACTCTCCAACTCAATAAAGTGGTTCAGAGCTCGAATCCACGGTGGTGTCGACTGACGGTTTATATCTCCTACTCCATTAGATGTTGTTGTTATTGTGGTGTTGGTGTTGTTAACATCTCGTTGTTGTTTAGATTCACCCAACCACTCTGCCTGGTACTGTGCCGCACGGCGGAGGGATAAGAACTCTTCTAATTTGTCTCTAGTAAATAGATGCGGTGCTTGACTCATGAATCCTCTCTACTACCATCGAGACTGAAGTAATATATATATATATACCGTGAAGAAATACAAGTAAAGAAGAAACAGTCAAGAAAAAAAAATATTTTATTAAAAACAAGGAAAGCAAGTACAGAAGCATAACAGAAAACACCATTAAACTAAAAAAAAATCTTTTTTTTTCAATTGTCTGGGAAAGATTGTGTGTGAAAATGAGTATAAGCGTGAGTCTGGGAAAATATAATAAATAAAATTAGCCACTGTAAAAAAAAAGAGAGGTAATCAGCAAAAAAAAAAAAAAAACATACCGTACCGTACCGCTTCATAATAATAAAAAAAGAGACAAAACCCCTGAATAAACAATACTTAGTTATACATATACGCACAGACACATACACATATATACACACTCACACATATCAAAAAACCAAAAAACAAAACCAAAAAAAAAAAGAGAGATCTCCTCTCTTTATAAATATAGCATTACTTATCCTTCGTGGACTCCAAGAAGTGGTTCTGCAACTTCTTAAGCCGTACAGCAGCCTCACGGATATCATCTTCTGTCTTGCAAAAGGCGAATCGCACGTATTTCTCATACAACTTCCTGCTTTCAGTGGCACAGAATGCTGTGGTGGGAATGGCACAGACCCCAATGGCCTTTACAAGCCATCGACAAAACTGCCAATCTTTTGCATACTGCTTGTCTTCTGGGTTATAGTAATGTGCTGGATCCACACGTGAGATGTCTGCCAACACAAAGAAACCACTGGATGGTTTTACAGGCGTTAACCCAATGCTGGTGAGTACCTCACAAAGAAGATCACGGCGAACCATATATCCAGCCGCATGGATTTCATGATAGTCATTCCCTTCTGCCCGTTGAATGGCACGTGCGGCGGCTATTTGAAGAGGTGTAGCCACCGAGAAGGTTTGATATGCGGCGATTTGACTGAGTGGATGAATAAGCCAAGATGGACCCACCGCCCAACCAATTTTCCATCCCGTGCAGGAGAACATTTTCCCAATACTGCAGACTGTGAGGGTGCGTTCCCACATACCAGGTATAGAGGCGATGGAGATATGTGGGGAATCATATGCAAGTGTCATGTACACTTCATCCGAAACGACAACGAGATCCTTATCAATGGCAACTCGTGTTAAGAGATGAAGTTCATCCCTTGTCCACGTCTTTCCTGGTATATTTTGTGGTGTATTTAGAAGAATTACCTTTGTCTTGGGAGTTACCGCGGCGAGTAGTTGAGACTCTGAGAAGCACCAATCATCCGCGATGTTTGACTCACTTGGAGTGAGTTGGACATATTTTACCACTCCACCAGCCAACTCAATATCATGAATATAAGCATCATAAAATGGTTCAAAGACAATCACTTCATCACCATGATTTAAAAGAGCCTGAAATGTGATATTAAGAGCTTGTGTTGTACCATTAGTAACAAGTACATTGCTTTCTGTTACATCCACTCGAGAGAGTCGCTTTATATACATATTGGCAATCGCCGCCACAAGGTCTGGGTGACCCTGTGCTCTTGCGTATTGATGGTTAATGGGATGTATGGCACTTTCTTCAATAATACGTTGGAGTTCCTCCAGAAGAAACGGTGGTGGTGGGAAACTTGGGAATCCTTGACCCAAATTTACTGCCTTGTGTTCATTAGCGAGTGGGGTCATCTCATGCCATATCGTCTCTTTTGGGAGAGTTAATAGGCGGTCAGCTGTACGGACAAGGCTCATTTGCAGGTAGTAATATAACTTTGTGTTTGTTCTCCTTTTGTAATCATGTAGGTGATGGTAAAAAAGAAAAAAAAAAGTATTGGGTGGGTAAAAGAATACAAAGAAAGAAAGGAAAAAAAATAAGAAATGAATACCATATTAGGGAAACAGAATTCTTTTTTTTACAGAGTTATACATATATAAACACACAGAGGGTTTTCACACGTGGAAAGGCCTTGCCAAAATCAGGCGAGGCAAAGCATCAGCTTTAACCGATTGAAATCAAACAAACAAACAAAAAAAAAAAGGAGTATACACCAAATATAACAGCAGGGAAATAAATACGACAAAAATAGATGGTTCCGACCAAAATAAATATATCTATATTTAGAACGGTATAGAAAGAGGAACATTAAGGAGTTGTGAAGACCGCACCATTGGCATCTGTAACCCACCATCACATAAAGCCTCACCTTTCTTCGCATCCTGTGAAATAGTGGCAACACGCATCTGCACAGTCGTTCCTATGTTTTCTGCGCGATATGGTGGGTGAAGAGCTGCTAACAGTGTGATAGTATGAGTGGGTGGACGATTGCCTAGTGGTTGCAGTTTAAATGGTGGATCCTCTGCGTTATGACCACTTGCTGCTGCCGTGCGTTTCCACATTACAAATCGTTGCGCTGGCCGTTGAGCTTTACATGAAAGATACGTCGTTCCATCAGTGTTTTTCTCTTCACGGAGAACAGGTGGTGGGGATAAAATCTGCATCATTTTATCACTCTCACCATATGGCATTTGTAATTGTTGTTGTTGTTGTTGAGATGAAGTCTGATCTACAAGCGGTAGAAAAAAAGTTGTGGCGTGTTGAACTAATGGTGCTGCAACGGCCACTTCATCGGCCCAACGCACACGCTTTACCGAACTACGTGATAATGTATACCATGAAGGATAAACATCACTAACTTCTCCTCCATCTTTTTCTTTTATACTGTTGCTGCGGTGTTGGGGTGTCTTTTTCCCCACATCCATAATATTTTTTTCTTCTTTTTTCTCATTTTCCCATTCCTGCTGCTGTTCTTTTTCTTCTCTTTCTTTTTCTTCAGCGTTGATATCATGCAGTTTATCGTGGCTTCGCAGCTCCAAACGACTTGGGGAGTCCTCTGGGAAGAAATCGCCCTCGACGAGATGTGCGGTGTGTGTTTCCTCCCGCCCCGACACCTCCGCAAGACTAGCAGGCACTACACCATCAAACCCATTCTCATTATGATCCTCCTCTTCTTCTTCTCGTTGAATTTCCTTTTCTTTTTCTTTTTCTTCTTCTTCTTCTTGTTGATGTTCTTGATGTGGTTGTGGTTCTTCTTCTTCTTCTATAATGGTTTGTTCCTCAGAAATGTATGTAAACATCATCGTCGTGTTTGGGACAACGTCTTCTGAAGGTTCCTCTCCATTTGACATGGGCCTACTCTGTGTGCGACTTTTTTTTTTTTTAATTTCTATTTTTTATTTTTATTTTTCCTTCTATTGGTCGTCGTGTACTCTAACCCCCTTTATATATACATCATTACAGAGATGAATGTATAAAATGAGATAAAAAAGAAAAATTCAAAGCAAAAATCATAAAGGAAATTACAAGAAAAAGAACATTATTCTCCAGTAAAGAACCATCACCAGCAGCCAATTATTTTCAATAGTCAAGAACAAGATGAGACGAGTAAAAAGCAAATATTGTAACAACCAGCAATAACAAGAAAGAAAAAATAAATAAATAAATAAATAAATAAAAAAAAGTTTTACGGTATCAAAACAACATCCAAGGAATATTCCTTAAGACATTCATTAACGCGTTGAAGAAGACGTACCAAACGCACTCCACTTGCACGAAATGCAGCATCACCAAGTGCCCGACGTACAGGAGATGATATGTTTGTCATTAGAAACGTCTTCCACATTTTTTCTCGCATTAATTTTGGCATTCCTTCTTCACATGCACTCCAGTAAACCTGTAATTTGCTTTCTGTATAGTGCTGTACAAGTACCTTTTCAATAGCCCATAAGCGAAATAGTAAAGGTTTATAAAAGATACAAAATGTTTCTTTTCCCTTTTGTTTGGCGAGTGGATTATTTACTAACGCCGCAGAACTCCATTGAAACGCTAATCCATGATCAACATGAATAATCGTAGGTACCATACCAGATGGACGACACTTCTTTTCATCCATTTTCACCTCTTTACAGTTACCAGTTCCATTCCCATTACCACCACTACCCTTATTATTATTATTATTATTATTATTATTATTATTATTATTATTATTATCTTTATTATTATTGCAACTGCGAGATCCACCCACTACAAAAGAGTTTTTATTAGGAGATCGATCATTATTACCTATAATATAGTCCAACATGGCCTGTTCTGACAAGGCAGCAAGAGGTCCATGCGGGATAATCATATCTGCATAGATTGGATTAAACCAGCGATGCCAACCGGGTTTTTTCTTACTATACGGTACAGAGAGAGGACTACGTAAAAGTGGTATCACTTCCTTTACACGTAATTGAAAACTACACCATACCTCTAAACCTCCCCGTCGTGTGAATATTTCATCATCATCATCATCATCTTCTTCTCCCTGTTTCTTCTTTACATTTGATTTACCTCGTCTTACATGTTTCTTTACAAATAAAAAGAAATCATTCTCCAACCACATTTCAAACGTCTCTCTCCCTTCACCATGGGAAAGAAGAGGAATCATATGAATTTTTTGTTGTGATCGTCGTACCACGGCTTCTTGTAGTATTGTTAACGGTACAGGGAAAAGAAAAGTTGCGGGTACTCGCCGTACATCAAGTGTGCGATCTACTGTAAAAGCCGCTACTTCTGCAAATGGTTCTGTTTGGAATTGTTGCTGAGGTACTTTTATTATAAAGACTATAGTTGAGAGACACACCGGAAGTATTTCTTCTTCTTCTTCTTGTTGTTGTTGTTCACAGAAGAAACAGAGTTTTGCCTGAAATTTAATGGTGCGTTGATCATAGCTTGGTACCAAAACATCCAATCTCACCCATACCTTCAGTTCACAACTCTTATTATCATTATTACTATTAGTATTAGTAGTAAAGGAAACCCATTGTTCTGCCTCTTTTGGAAGTGGAATAACTGTATGCCATCCGAACGTTTTTTTTTTTTCTTCTTTCTCTTCTTTTTCTTTTTCTTCCCATTTTTCATGATATGAAGAGAAGGCTGTCTGTAATAACAATTGTGTTAATTGAATACATTGCATATCCTGTAATGTATTGAAGGGTACAGTAATAGCATCACATGGGTGTGATATCGTAGGAATATCACATTGATCCAATGGATCATATACATAATATTTTGTATGAAGTGTATCTCGGAAAACATCATCATAAGACCACCAAGAAAAAGTTTGAAGAGATGTGTTTTTCTCTAATAGACGTGCAATACGGCGTTTTTGTAATTTCTTCGCAATTGTATCATTACTTTCTTTCATTGTTAGTGGAGGAGTTGTATCCTTTATCCACTTATCACTACATAGGGGTAATATATTATGTTTAAATAAATCTCGAATAGCCTCATCCGATGGAACCACGAGATTAAAGGATATTCCTGATGTTGCCGATGTTGATATTAAGGCCGTCTCTTGTTTTTCTCCTTCACTATCTTGTGTTGATATCATCATCATCATTTTCGTTTTCTTCTTCTCTGCTGCTGAAGAAGAAGATGTTGTTGTTGTTGTCCCTTTTTGTATAATGTGAATAGTGTTTAATAGAAACACGAGAAGCACTAAAACAACGCACACCATAATAAAGTGACGTCGTTGTGTTTTTTGTCGACGACGGTACATACATAAGTGTGTACTCTAATTGATGATTTATTTATTTTTTTAAAGAAAAATAAGGAAAACTAACGCACTTATGAAGATAGATAGATATGTAGATAAGAAAGAAAGAGATACAGTAATATAAATAAATAAATGAGGAGAGATATCAATAATAATAACAATAATAACAACAAGAACGAAAAATAAAAGAAAAAAAAAAGCAGAATACTCACACTCACACATATAGCATAAGGATAATAACAACACGGAAAAAGAGCAAATAAATACAATAGCAATAAGAGTGAAATATATGGAAGGAAAAAGTCAAAACAAAACAAAACAAAAAAAAAAAAATCCGTCAACATCATATCAAGCATTCTTTTTTTTTTTCTTTCTTTAAATAATTCCACGATACCATTTCGTTTCACCTTCTTTTTTTTTTTTCTTTTCTTAAATTATTATGATTATTATTACGCTGATGATGATTCTTCCTTAACTGTATTATTTACGATGGGTTTGCCCTTCTCATTATTCTCTGTTACTTTCCCCATTTCCTCCTCTGCTGTTATTGGAATATCCTCCACCACCACCTCTGCCGCTGTTTCCTCCGCCTCTACTGCGGCCTCCACACCAAATCCCCGTTTCTCCAACTGAATGTCAATAAATAAAAACGCCAACGCCACCCACAACATAAAGAGCGCCATGATGCGGAACATCCATCGCCCGCCAAAGTGATGATAAAGAGTCCCACCAACAACATTTCCAATCAGTGGACCCACACCAAAGGCAGTGGCACTGAGAAAACCAACAGAAGAGTGTGAAAGAGATTTGGGAAAGGCTCCACGCACAAAATGCATGGCGGAAAGCCACATTAAGCCAAAAGTAAATCCATGTAAAGGTTCAAGGAATAAAACAAGCCATGGATTATGTAGAAAAGAATAACCCATCACACGAACTGTCCAAGCACACATAGATACACATAATAATTGTCTATCTGTATAATGTTCATGCACGTATTTGGAACTTTGAAAAAGAGGAATTTCCACCACTACGGTCATGACAACAGATAATCCAAGAAGAATAGGTGGGGCATGAATAGAATCAAGAAAGATAAATAAAAATGTATTAATAAGAGAATACCCCATACCCATAAAGCACAATGCAGCAAGAAAAACGGTTAAACGTCTATGCGAACAAACATAACGGAGTACATCTGAATAATTCATCGTGGCAGATTGTGTCGCATCATGTGGTACAATCGTAACAAAGACATACATGGAAGTACACATTCCAAAAAATAATAATACCGCTACGGCCCACCATCCACCTGTCCAGTAAAGTATGGAATTTAATAATGCTCCCACGGCCCAACCATATGCCCCAAAAGAACGCATAGTTCCCCACTGTACTTTACGATCAGGTGGAAGTATAGACATTGTTCGTTGATCCATAAAAGGACCAATAGGTGTACGGAAAATATAATGTAACACCATAAGAATAGCAATAAGGATATGTGAAGTAGACATTGTAACCATGAAATAGAGAATTGACGATAGAGAAGTAGCTGCTAGAAATACATTAAGCGCACAATGATATCGATCTGCTAAAAATGATAATGGTGGAAGTAGAACGAGAACAGAAAGCGGCATACAAGCCATAATAGTACCAACAGCAGCAGGTGTAAATCCTTTATTATCCAACAATAAACCGTAATATGGAGAGGCAGCGAGTCCAATGTACAAAATAAAATAGCCAAACTTTGCTCGAATAATGCTTGCCTTAATGGATGCCTCTAAAGCCTCATTTTTTTCATTTTCATGTATAGTATTATTATTATCATTATTATTGGTAGTATCGGTATTATTATTATTATTATTATTATTATTTCCTCCCTCAGTTGGGGAATATATTTCGGCAGGATTTACTGTAACAGATGCACCTGTGCTATTATTATCTTTCATTGCTAAATAATGGGGCACGGTAACAGGGTCGTCGCCGTTTGGTATTTCGTCCTTCTTCATCATTTCTTTTTTTGTTTTTACTTTTAGTATTTGTGTCTTTCTTCTCAAACGATATTGAGTGTAACACCCCTGCTTGTACCAATAAAAAAAAAAAAAAAAATAAGAACAAGAACAAATGCAAAAACCTTATGAATTTGAGCATAAAATGAAAAGAAGAAAAAGAAGAGGGGAGTAAATAGTTCTAAACAATATCCACACACTCGGTACACACATCAATTATATATATATATATATATATATATATATATATATATATCCCTATTGATATAGGATAATAATATCTGAAAAAAAACATCATCAACTTATAGAGTATACAGTTTCATTTGAAGTGTTTCTTCATAAAATGTTGATATGCTGCTGACTGCTGAGTATCATTCTGCACAGCTTCCCATTTCGCTCGTTTATTTTTCGCCTCTTCACTCGAAACAACAACACCCTTTTGACGCCACTCGCGTCGCCTAAATAACACATCATGGTTATAAGAAGAGACACCACCCCCTAAACTAGCACTATTATTATTATTATTGCTGCTGTTGCTCATACCATCTGTTCTTGTAGAGGTGGGACCACTAGTCTTTGCAGTTCGTGTTTGCTCCCGTTCACGTCGCATATTTTCAATACGTCTTCTTTCCTCTTCTAATTCCGCCAAATCTTCATCCTCATCTTCATCTTCATCTTCTTCTGATTCACTTTCAGCTAAAGGTGGATCTTTAGTATGGACTCTATCGGATTTATTATCATTTATTTCTTCAACATCATCAGAACGCATATTGTTATTGTTTTCCTTCTCCATTGAAGGAACTGGTAAAGTGACATCATCCCTATCTACATCCGTAGGGAGAACAGAAGAAGATGATGTTGTTGTTTCTGTTGTTTCTGTAATTGAGACTGGAGTAGTGCGGCGACGCTTGATGCCCACCTGCGCTGGTAAACTCTCCTTATGTACAACAAATCGACCCATAAGGAAGAGAGAAGAGAAATTCCTTTTCTTTTATTATTATTATTATTATTATTATTATTATTATTATTATTATTATTTCTCTTTTCTTTTTAAGAATAGTCTTACTTGCACCTTGTAAAGAAGCAGAAGAAGTGAAAAAAAAAAAAAAGAAGAAACAAAAAAAATATTTTATTATTAGCAAAATTATACATTGTCCCTCTTTCGCAGACACATATATACATATTCCGATATAAATATATATTTCTTTTTTTTTATTTATTTTTATTACCCCAGTGGGTTTTAAATATTTAAATAAATAACAGAACTCCCCAAAATGGAAGTATTGAGAAGCCCAACCCCCCTCTTGAGAGGGTATGGGTGTGTGGAGATTATTAAATGGGCCTTTGAAGACTTACCGCCGTCTGGAGATTGTAAAAATAAAATAAAAAAAAAGAAAAACACACAAACGTATTCCCAGTATTAAAATTGTTTGCATAATAAATGTAAAATTTGATCATTCGTTTCGCAAGACGTCAACAACAACAACAAAAAAAAAAAACCATTCTCATTTTATTTCCCTCCTCACCTTCAGTATACCCCCTCTCATCAGCAAAGGGAAAAAAAAAAAAATGAATGAATGAATACAGTAAAAAAGAAACAACACTGAAAAGATCAAAAAAAAAAAAAAAAAAAAAAAAAAAAAAAAACACATATACACACATGATTCAAGTAAAACGATGAAGGGAAAGCAACAAATCTAGAAAAAAAAAAAAAAAAAACGCTGTTTCTGGGTTTAATAAATAATTAAATTAAAAAAAAAAAAAGCAAACGAAACCAAAAAATGTGGTGTGACTGCATTGTATCCTGTAAGAACAAAAAAAAAAAAGAAAACAACAACAAACAGCAGGCAATGCATTCATTGATAATAACAACAATTACAGTTTTCTTTTTCTTTTTTTTCCTCATGCCTCTCTCTTAGAAGTAGATGGTCTAGAGATAAATCGTAGTTGTCGTTTCTGCAGTAATTCCTCCATAGAATCGCCATCCGGTGTTTCCATAGATCCTCTAGGTATAATGAGCCTCCAAAGAGTATTATACCAATGCATAACCATATGCTGCATATTTAAGAAAAATAATACGAATTCAAATACCATTCCTCTATAAAGAGATATAGTAGTATCATTAATTCGTTTTGGCAGAGAAGCTTCTCGTATACGTCGAAGATGAATAGAGGCTGCGGTTTCTTGATGAAATCGTATTTCAGCTTCCGTATCAAACAATGATTGTGCTGTTGTAACTGCAGATGATGATGATGATGATGATGATTGTGTATGAGAATGACGATCTAATTCTACAAGATAAAGTTGTACTTCTTCATACGTATTAATAGGACCTAATCCAGCCACCGCCTGCCTAACAAACATATTTACCCGATTAATAGGAGCTCCATAGAGTCTATTTAATCCACGAAGAATATCAATACTTCGACCTACTAATGGTAATTCTCGTGGTACTCGTTCTTGACTTTTTAAAAGTGTCTTTGTGCGTTCCCGTGCGTTTATTTGCATTTCACAAACTTCATCCATTGTTACTTCTCCACGATTACCACGACGGAAGGATTCGTATGGTTTTTGTAATTGTATAGATGCAAACACCTCCGCATCTGTGATACCCCATGAACCTACAACTCGCTCAACCGTGTGTAAATCCTGCGAAACCATAGATTTAAACAACAAGGCATATTCCATACGAAACTTTTCTGTTTCTGGACAACAAAGGCCAAAATCTAAGAGAACAATTTGTGGGTTTTTACATATTTTATTAGATAATTTCTTTTCATCAGATGTATTTGTATTTGTTTTTGCTTTTGTTGTTGTTGTTGTTGTTGTTGGGATAGGGCGAACTAGAATATTAGCCCCATGAGGATCACAATGAACGAAACCATATTGAAAAATCATACTTCCAAAGGCATCGAAAATATTCTTTAATACCATCGTCGCATTAAATTGTTCTCGAATAGTCTTTACATCAATCAGTTTAACTCCATCTACCCATTCCATCACTAGTAAACGTGAAGTAGCGTATTCATCATATACTTTTGGAACATACACATTTATATTATGAGCAAAATCTTGTCGAATACGCTTAGCGTTATTTGCCTCAATAGAAAAATTAATTTCTCGACGAGTTCCCTCCGCTACGGTTTGTCGAACCCAATCCATTGGTAATCCAAAGAGTGTACTGATTGTCCATGTAATGAAACGATAAGTTTCCAAATCCCAAAAGACTTGATAACGTATTTGTGGTTTCTGAACTTTCACTGCCACTTCCACTGGAGGTTCATCTTTTCTTGTTGGACGTAACCAGGCACGATGGACTTGGGCAATAGAGGCAGAGGCAACGGGCTCAGGTTCAAAATGAGAAAATATATCCTCCACCGTTTTCCCTGTTTCTTCATGAATAATACGTTTAATATCTTCTAATGGAACAACTCTCGTCTTATCTAGTAGAACTTTGAGTACATCCATATATTCTACTGGTAGAATATGATTCATCGCATTCAGTCCTTGACCCATTTTTGTATAAAGTCCTTCATTCTTTAAACAAACATCAAGAATAACTTCTGCTACTTGACGATGTAGATTAGAGAATTCTTCAGGAGTTGTTGGTACAGTTGTCTTGTAAAGATAAGAAACATATATCGTTCCCTTTACTGCTCGTAAAGAGCGGGTGAGGGAGTTGGCGGTAGAGTAGTCAGCAGTGATGTACCCAGCTGTTAATACTCCTGCCGTTATAAAGAAACGACGTCCCCATTTTTGTAAGCGTGACTGTGAAGAAGGGGCGGAACGACGGAAAAAAGAAAACATAAAAATAATAAATAAATAAATAAATAAATAGGAAACCTTATTAATAATTGAATAAATGAGTAAATAAGTAAAAGAAGAAAAAAAAGATAATAATAATAATAATAATAATAATAATAATA